CTCAGGCCTATTCACATTGTCCTCCTTGGAATACGTACATTCGGCTCCACTTACTGCCTTCTACTTTACGGGAAGTCTTGAGACGCTATACCCAATGAATTGAGTTTATTGGTTTATAACTGCTAGTTCATACAAACCCGGACATCTATTTTTGAAACGGCAGTGCGGTAGAATATGCAAAAAAATTGGATGACTGGCGTAGAAATTTACACCCTCTTTAGTTAATCCTCTCGGCATTTACGAGTGTTTCTAGAAGCCTTCCTTTTGACAACACATGTATCGGTTAGCTCTCACGCTTTATGCCTTGCAATAAGACAGCCGACATGTTGGACATCACCGATCCATGCATTAATAATGCATGTTGCAACCGTCCTGTCTGTGACCTCCAGCCCTGGTCATGCCTACTCGATGGTTAGCTGTCTGGAACCTTAGCATTTGCATTTCCGACGCATCTAATCAACAAGCCTAGAAGCACAAATTGTGATTTTCAAGGTTCAAAAACAAGGCGAACCAAAAGTACGCCAAGGCTGCAAGTGAAGGTCTGAATTTATTTATGCGGATGATTTAGGGGTACATCGACTGTGAAGGCGTTAAGACGCTGGCGCCTCTCCTACCTCTGAGGTGTCTAGCAGAGCTTATTTCCTAACAATTAATAAGCGGGAGTTTTTGTCTTGATTTAAGTTCCAGTAATAAAGTGTAATGTTTTGCTTTCCATTTTTAGCATCAGTCATATTAGCCGCCCACTTATTAACGTTCTGTCCCCAAATGGGCATTTTGTGCGTTGTAAGTTTTCGCAAGTTTTACAGGCTCACATAAGCTTACTCATTTGATAAGCAGTATCAGTTTAAATAAAGTAATTTTAAAACGCGGCCTCGTATACTTAAGGTTAGGCAAATATACGTTACGGTGAAGTTTGTTTTTTGGGAAAAATTAAGGGCTTATCAATCTGATGGCTCACTTTAACTAGTTTACTTCACCGAACTTTTTCTGATACTTGAGATGATTTAAGTTAAAGATGACTTTTTAGTATGCTGGGTGCCACCATTTTCCCCCAGCCTCTTCAATCTCAATCTCCGAGTAATTAATTACTTCTCTCCCCTGCTTCCTGATTTTGGTTTAGAAAAATTATGCCATCAGTTGGTGTTCTGGACTGCTGGCAGACTTAAACATGATCCATTGATGATGAAAACCATAAAGGCGTAAACAGGAAAGGATAGTGAATGTCTTGTGCTCCCGGTAGCCACACTAACCCGATATCCTCCATGCAAAGCAAGGAAAACTAACGACTGCTGCATTTGCTTAGAAAATAAGTGCACCACCTTTACTGTTATCAGGTCGGATAGAAATGCATTAAAAGGCGGTTGAGAACGAGCTACTACTGGAGAAGGTTTTTTAGCACACTCCTGCTACATCCCTTCCCGACATCTGCACTTTGGACTAGTGAAGGTTCAACCACAGTGACTGGATTTTATTAAACTCTTCCGGAATCCAAAACTATGCACGATGTCTCTTAACATAAAAAGGGACTAAGCTGCCCAAGAATTGCTGTAGGAAAAGCATTACGCTGAAATTTGCTTTTGTTTGAATAGGCCATAATCCCCGTTTATGTGGAAACATCGCCCACCGCCGTTTTAATTGACCTCCCTGATGTTGAGCTTTGGGTAACGCTTCGCATCCAATTACTTTTTTCCTCATTGAATCTCATGAAGTAAAAAGTTTCCGAATTACAATGCAATCACTTTTTAAATATTGGCAAAGGGGACGGAGTTGTCACCGCCTGTATCGCGCCACACACCCTCTACTCCCATTTACCCAATGTGATTCGACTCGTCCAACAATATACACCAACCTAAGTGTGACTGTTTAAGTTGCGTTTCGCACTTCACTCGTGCCAACTATTTGAATTTTGCCTTCACAGTACTAATTTTATCTCTGGCACGCTTAGCTGAAATATGGGAAAGATTGTATCCTACGATATATTAGGCTTCTGCACTGTAAAGTTCAAACGGTTTTGACAACTAGTTGTCAGGCCGTCACTACAGTCCCATTAAGTCCCTGTGTCAATTGTTTAGTAGGCAGGAAGCACACACGCAATTAGCATACCGAGACTGAGAAAATTGTGACAGGGTAGAGAGCGTCTGGTAATATGTGTAATGCGTGTATGGCAAGCTTTTGATCGCAACGACTTCGTGTTTTGTCTCGCTACTCTAATCAGCCATTCAGGTGGCGTGACAACACAGTGAGCCTTGTCCTCTCCACCTTTAGGCTCCTTTGTAACAAAAGTGCGTCTAAAACCGCATGGCCATTAGCGTCTCTGAAAGTTTACTAAGGAAAGGAAATAAGAACGTTTTAATGCTCATCGTAATTCACTTTTCTCTTTAACAAAATAGTGTTTCCGTATGTACATGCTTGGAGCGGAACAGGCAAACATTTTTCCATATAAATCAGGAATGGTGAATGAGGGTATTTACATTGAGATGGAGGCCCATGTAGTTCTTATTCTTCCTCTCCTCCTATGTGCTTCTGATTTGGTTGTTTAAATAAAACCAAGTTGTGAAACGTTAATGTCAACATAGGGACCAGCTTTCAACTTTGTTCGTTAGCGGACAGATGCGGAGTTAGGTGGTTTAGAGTGGATGAATCGGGGTTCCACTGTCTTGCTGTCAGTAGGAGTGGAATCTACTCCCTCCTGCTTTTGACAAAAACCTATCAGATTTTGGTAAAGTGTTGACCGCAGGAAGCGCCGATACGGATCCTTCTCCATCAGAGCCTCAATGCGTTTTTGACTTGCATCAAATAAGTCCGGTTCAGCTTGTGATAGTCGCGACTCTGTCTGGATTCGGGTCTCACAGTCGAGATTGACCTTAAGGAAAATAGTGAATTTTTTCAGCGAAATCACTCCAATGATGCTCTTTAACGCCATCCAGTGAGACCATGCGAGCAAGGATATCCGGACTAACTTCATAATAAACAAGAGTTTTCAGACAACCTTTAAGCTGGCTTCGATCTCACTTTTTGAGTTTAATTTTAAAAATTACACTTGCATGAATGTTACTAGTTAAATAAATGTTAAAGTTTCATTAGTCGGTTTATCGTAAACTTCTACTTTGATCTTTTAAGTAGTATACAACATCCTATTTCACACATTAACCGAAGGTGTCATTGTGGGGAGAACCTTCAGTCAGGAATGTGTGAAAGCTAAAATAAGGAGACCAAATAACATTGGCGTAGGCGGACTCCACACTTTGGCCTCAAAGTTGCCACCTTGACAATTAGTGGGATCGAGGGGCACACAGCACCAAAAACGATGCCCTTCCCACAACTGGCAAACTACGACGACGAAAGTTGTGCTTGCTTCACTTCTAACGACTAAAAACTGCGAATTTCATGGTTCATTACTTTTCGTGACTTTTTGCGGATAAAAACAGATTGTATTTGGTTAACTGGACCTTGAATGGCACGAAATAGTTAATTAAATGGAATTTTGATAGGAGACAAATGGTAAACTTAAAGGTCAAAATAGTTTGCATCCAAAACACCACACAAGCGGTAAATGAAATACAACAATGATCAAAGGGGGTCGTCGGAGATGTGAATTTAGTAACTAAATACCATTTGAAGTTGTACGGTCTGTGGAGCAGGAAGATACCAACCTTTTCAGGTAGCATGGACGCGAGGTGGAATTCCAGTAAAAGGTATTTCTTAGAGATGACAGCTTCCAAAGGAATGAAACGCCTTCATAAGTAATGCAACAATTGTTAACTTTCCTGCTAAACAATGGCAAATTCATGTAAATAAGGTTCATCTGTAAGTGATAAATAGCTCTTATGGGTCGCAACTGTTTAGAAAAAGCATTTGTGGATAAATTAAAACGTGTTTTTCAGAAATTTGTGCTGCAAATTCACTTCCCTATTCACTGATTGGTTAAAGTAGTGGAATAATCCCTCCGGAAATCATTCAAGTGTGTCACAAATATGGCAAAATTATGCTACATACCAAAGTTTACTCAAAAGAAGTTGCATCCAAAGAAGGTAAGAGCAAATGTCAATTTCTCTTTTTCCCTCCTACAACTATGCATGTCAAAAAGCGTCTACTTAAATACAAATTAAGTAGCGCGTAGGCGTCATGGTAATTGTAAATGGCAATTTAGGTTGACTGACCTCCCTTTGGGACTGGAATGCAATAAAGCCGTCGTAGATTTCCTGCGCCCGTAGTCGTTGCAGAGACTCGTCAGTGAGAGCCTTGTACTTCTGACAGGCCAGCCAGAATTCCAGATTTTCATCACTAAATTCACCCTGGAGGAATTCTCGAAACACCAAGAGACCATCTGAAAATCAAAACATACCCATTGACACCTACTTGGAAGAGCAATGAGTCAGTTACACTTAAACATTCGCGCACTCAATTTGCTCCCAAAAGATGTTGGCACAACTGGTAATGGTGAGTGTTGTGCTTCTCTATATTTTCATGGCGGAAGACTATTAACTCACTCGTGGGCTTTAATAGTGGGCATTAAATCCGCCTATATTGTGTACACTTCCGTGAGCAACTCTTCTCAAGACAGCAAAATAATTTCATAGGGAGATAGGTTAGAATGGCGAATGGTGGGAAAAGATCTGGACGAAATTTGCATCGGTAAAACGTGAGCCAGAGTATGCAAGACTTTTCGTAAGAGCGAGGTCGAGGGTGGAAATGGGAAAGTGGAGGAAATGCATGGAGTAAAGTGTAAACATAATAATTAAAGGAAATGGAAATGTGGGGATTTAGTTGCCTTGCCCATGTATTGTTGTTTGATGTTTGGAAGTTTGTGAGATGCAAACACCTCACCCGTTACAATCCACCTCAGTAAGCGGCTCATGCGTCTGAAGGCACTACACTGCACTCGTCAATACAAAGACGCCTTCATGCCAAGGTGGATGAGGAGGTGGGTGCGTAGCTATTGGGATGA